ACTGGCTGTCAATTTTCAACGTCAACCTAAGATGGCTTTATTCTTCAGGAATCTGTCTCTTGAGTCGGCACCACCCAGCTTATATAGGTACGAGACGGGAATTCCCTTTCCAGTTTGGCATGTGGGTCGAGAATTGCCGTTGTTATTATCATTCTCGGAATCGGCAGGTCCGTGCGCAGGCCGGTGTGGCGGTCTCAGGCTCCCGGTCTCAGCACTCCCCCAGACGTAGCCGGACATTTCAGCACGACGCAAGCATGGTCTCGTTGGGCTTCCGTGCTGAGATGTCTGCAAGACTACTTCACACGGTACTATAAGCGGTGCTGTTGTCTTTTGTGTAGGCCTATGCACAGTCACGTCACGTACAACGTGAAGCATGCTTGGACTGCAATGCTCAGCACGCCACTTAAACGGACGACTTTCCCGCTGTTGTGCGCAGAGATGGCATGACGTATTTTTAACATACTTGGTAAGGGGGCCCGCTGAGACCGCCACGCCGGGAATACCCACTTTCCCCCTGGTTTGCACGCGCGCACCGAGAGCAAAGACAACCCAAGGCAGTGGGAATTCCCTCTTAACAAGCAACTTGCCCGGATTTGTGTCTTTACAAAGAATACTTCATTGATGAGTAGAAAAGAAAGTAGTCAGCACAACACCAAAACCCTAAGAAAACAACATCAGCAAATAAAACCAAGGATGTCGGGACCGTAAGGCTTTCGATTTTTTTCTCACTCAACATCATGTTAAATAAGCCCGAAGCCGCATCCACTTTTGAATTCCCCCCCCCCACACACACACCAAAAGCTGGATAAGCCGCTGGAGGGGTTAATATTTTGCCCCCTTCGTTTCCTCCTACTGTCACAATACTGCAGGATTCCTAACTGTAAATGTAGGGCGAAAACTATCCTAATGATAAAACTCAACATGATAACAAATCCCAAGTTAAACTTCTTTTCAAAGAATTTATTTAAAGGAAAACGATCACGAGAAAGGCAGTTGACGTCAGATTACATCTTTTTATCTACAAATTGAGATATATAGTTACGTATATGTACATAATATGCATTTTAAAAATCTGCCAGAAAACAACCAATTCAATGAAAGTACAGCAGCAGAATAGACCCAATGTAAATACCAAAAATATATAGCAGAAGTTCTTGGTTGTTCTGCTAAAACCTCTAACGAATTTAGTACGAGGATACATCTGTGTAAAACGAACACTTTAAGTGCAGCCTCTTAAGACATAAACCAACAATTTCTGAATAGGATCCAAGATACAAATTGGTAACTAAAATGTCTTTGCCTTCATTGTTTGATTTCTTCAGATTTCACATCAAGAAATGTACTCCTTCAATCTCATCGGAGTTTGAACAGGTATGACGCGACGTCATTAGTTGTAAGCTATTATTACCAGCCAAGGTATGCCTCAGCAGTTTAGTTTTGGATAAGGTTATTTCGTATAGATTTAAAAATAAACTCATCTCGAGCAGATTAAAAGGTAACTGTAGTTTATCTTTTGATAAACGACTTAATAAATGACTGCTATCATTAAAGAAAATTGAAAACTACTTCCTAACAGACCTCAGGATTACCGGCCAGGCTAGTGGAGACTTCTCCACGTCATGAGATCTCGGTAAAAAAGGGTAACTCTACAAACTTCCCTCCACCACGTGTAAGGTGACTGACTGTTATTATCATAATCATTTATTTAGAAATCGATCAATTCAACGACAAGTCCACATACAAACCCACAGGATACGGTTGAATAATTCTGGGATAGACCCCCCCCCAAAAAAGCTACTTGCACAGGCTTATTTCCATGGAAATCCAAACATAACCTCAACAAATGTATTGGATTACAACTATGCAAGACGACAAGGACCAATAAATTACCATTCGATTTCCGTCAATACTATAAAAATTCAAATCAGTAGACAGTAAGATTCGCTTACAATTTCATTCACAAAACATTCACTGACATCACTCATCTCATTCCTTTAGAAATCAGATACAGTAATTTAAAACATCATTTCCTTATCGGTTGGCTTTCTGTGATACACTGGACAGCAGAAGAAACTTGCCACTTCTGTCAAAGGCCACACATAAAAATTCACTCCATAGAAATAAACAAATTTGGTACACAGGTATGCTGCAATACCCCTTACTAATCACATGTCCAAAAGCAA